AACAGTTGCAGTAATCAAAACATGCAATTGACTCACGCATACAAAGTATGGCTAAGGACATAGGATTATGTTCCAATGACCTATAGTTTGACCCCCAGCTGATACAAACGCGCACCTTGATGATCGATGGCGCGACAACGTGACAGTGTCAAGGTCGATTTTGACAGCTGTCAGGCTGGCCAGGCTGTCACTGTCAGAGCTGAAAAACGCGCGCTGTCACCGCGTAATGGATCGCCTTCCGGGGCTGTCGGCCATAGCTGTCAGGGACGTCGACCCCGGCCAAAGCCTCGGGCGCACATGGCATATTTATCTCTTGTCATATGACATTTTAAGGACTTCGTTAACCTTAACTTTTTAATTGTCAATTTTGGTTATGATCTTGACAACTTGTCCAAACAGTGTTCGAGGACTGGCTTTGTTATGAATTCTCCGTTGAATTGCAAACTTCCGGATGTTGTGATAGCAACAATCACTCACTCTGTGTACACTCACTACACAGTTAATTAAGATAACTGCGTCGTGTTCAGATAAAAAAGTTGACAGTTTTATATGTTTACTTTATTACAGCCTTTTACATTCCCGAGCATGGAGATAATAATTATTTATTTTTTGCGACTTTATAGGAAGTAGTCTAGACTTAGAATCATTGGAAATTCAATTTAAAATTCAAAACATCTTTAATAGTTTGTTTTTAAATGCAGTTTAATGAGTCATGAAGGATCACTTTAGCTGGCACTCAATCGTTAATGGTATCAGGTGTACAATGGATTCGAACGAGGGGCTAAAAACAAAACAAACTACAAATTTATTAGGTACAGGTATCGATCTGTCGATCCATACCTACGGATGATATACCTAGGCAGCCTCCCCCCGGGGCAAGGCAACGACCGCGCAGCGCGCACCCGACAACCCGCCCTACCCCTCATAGAACACGATAGCTTTTCCTTTGACAAATAGCAATTTTCTTATGACGATTCTAAGTCTCCTATATCGATTGTAGAAGTGGAAAAGAGCGTAAACGACTGTATCGAGGTGAGGAACAAAGGCCCCAATGGCCGCCGCGGCCGCGCGAGCCGCCGGAGGGCGGGCGGTCCGCCTGCTCTGGGCGGGGGCAATTAACCAACTTCCTTGGCGAGCGTGTTTAAAAATGCATTTTTTATTACTCCAGTTTTCATGGTCGGCTATAATTGAAGTTGGTGTAACAGAATTAACCTCATGTTACAATGAAGAGATGGCTTTTTAAAAAGTTTTCCTTTCTAGCGGAAACTTCTTCCAAACTAAGTTTTTATAATTTCCGCCAGTCACGAAACTTGCTTTGATTGTCTGACAGTTAATACGAATAAAAAAAAAACATATCGACGAATTGAATACGTCCTTCTTTTGGGAAGTCGGTCAAAAAAGACGTAATTTAACTATGAGCCACAAAATCCCAGTATAATTGTTAAAAATTTAATATTTGTGAACCCTTATTTACAAAGATGTCCAAGCTTATGTCGATAGTTTCGACACATCACAGTATTTCTTGAGAAACCTTAGAGCCTTATCATAAAAACATAGACACTGTATTAAATACATTTTAGCTTCAAAAATAACAACCTTATTACAGAGACTTGCGCCCCGCGTATTTTTGACAAGACTTGGTTATTCAAACATTATTTTTCATACTTATAATAAACAACAATAAAACACGTATGTGAGAAACGAGTGACATTTTGTTTCATTATTTTGTGTAAAACGGTAATGAAGTATTTATGTAGATCATGACATAATATGCTAAAAATATCGATTGTCGGTGAAGATGAAGTCTAACAAAACATGTTGCTTTTAATCTTGTATGTATCGCGAAAGGTTTAATTGATCGCCGCCATTTTGGTGACGTTCCGATAGTGATGTTTAAATCAATTTGACTTGTTATTTGTCGATGATTTGTCAACGTCCCGTTCGATAGCGTTCCAAGATATATGTACTTTTGTTTCTGCACGACGTTGACTAATTTTTGTCTAGTATTATCTATTTATATAGGATGATAGAAAAACAACGAATTAGTAAGTCTCCGGTTTCTTTATAATATTAAATGCTAATTTTAAAAAGTATTTTTTTATATGATTTATCGTTCAGAAAAATAACAATTGTCGAATCTTTAGTTAAGACATTTCGCTCGATTTAATATCGAATATAAAAAGTAATTTCTAAATTCCCTTATGCTGGGATTACGAAAACGAAATACAATAAAATATAAGAAAAAAGCTTGCGACAGGCGCGCTCACCAGGGCCACATAAAACACGGGGTGTCTCGGAGGAAAAAGCCGTGTGATTTATCGTGAGAAGAGCGACATCTTTGGGCCTTTCATTATGTTTCGGGTGCATGCGTCAGGTATAGCAGGTGCGATGCGACCCTGGTACCTTGACTAGCTTTTGTTTTTTTATGAAATCCTTCTAAATACAATTTATTAGTTTTCTTAAAAGTTATGATAATAATTGTTATGCCAGCTGTAAAAATTCGATTATTATTGCTTTAACTAGATAGTTAACGCAAAACATTGTAACGATGGCGTATAAATAAAAGTAACCAGAAATTACTCGATTCGAACGTCGAAATGATCATGAGTCGAGGGAATTGTAAAAACAGTAATTAATAGCGATTATTGAGTAAAAAATAATTGCCGGTTCCTTAAATAATGGGCCGCGGTAGATCTAATTCCCCGATTCTTTAATCACTATTATTACAAGTGGGATGTGGCGGTGATGCCTATCACAACTTTCCAAACCGACAATTGTTTTAATTCGGGAAACGGGAAAAAAAAGAATTATGAATCCGTAATAACTACGTCCGAAAACGTTTGCATTGTATTTCATGTTTTGTTTTTCCACGTCCGTGTTACAGCTCGTGCCTTTTAATCGGCCAGATCGGTATCGTGCAATCAAATTCAGTATTTAAATCCGTTTCACTAATAACTGTTAGACAAATCGATATTTCATTCTGTTCAATTGACGGTTGTTTCTTTTGATTTCTGTTACCTTTGTTGTTATTACACAAGAAACTCTAGAACTTGTTTGACGCTTCTCGATTGTTCGATTATACGTTCTGTGAGAAGGATTTGCACTGCATTATTAGATAGTAATAATGTTTATTAACGTCTTCAGCGTGCAAGTGTTATTACATAATTGATAGGAGCGGTAGCATTTTTGTGGAGGCAAGGCTAGCAGCGTGCCGCGGCGTCACGCGCGCCGCCGCCGCCGCGGTCGCCGTGTTTAGACAATTTTCTTGGCAAATTCCCCGCAAGGGCCTCGCCCTCGTATAAATAACGCGAGCCTCGCCCTCGCCTGATATTCGCCAGGTTATTACAATTTTTCGCGTTATGAATATCGTCGCGAGCGGAGCGCGGCCCGGAGCGCGGCTCGGTGCGCCGGGGGAGTCACACCTCAACAATTTTACTTTAATTCTTATTTAGAGTGCCGCCTTATTTCGGTTACAAGATTCTTAGTATTTGTTTACGGCGTTAACTCGCTTTCGGCGGCGGCGATGGGGTAATTTTCGCTTTTTTCAACGGCGTAATTTCGCCGAGTTACATCGCATCAGGGCGAGAGGAACGCAAATTGGCTATCTTATAGCGCGTTGGCCATAAAAGATAATGCGATAGCGTGGGGCTTGCGGGGGATGCGGGGCGAGGGGCTGGGGGCTGGGGGTCAAGGGCTGGCCGGGGTAAGGTCCCGCGCATCGGTTGCGATCAATCATGCACGCTCGGCTGGCGCAGCACAGGCTTTTGTTAGAATTTTGAAAAAAGAACGCGACCAGATATAGACAAAATTACATCGTTCTCTGTCTGATATTCGGCCGCCCGCAGAGTTGCCCTACCTCGTATATGTTCTACAAATTAAAACTGACAACTCATTTTAAGTTTTTGTATTAATAATTCAAATACGAGTTCATTCACCGCTTTAATGGAAAGTTTTAGGTATGAATGTGCGACGGAAACCTCTGTATACCAGTGACAATATTCCAAGTACAAAATAACCGTCTGCGTCGAACAATAATAACGCATTTATAGAGTGTGACACCGTTAAAAAAGTAAAGAAAATTGCTAATGGTGTATGATATTGCCTCCCCTCATTTTTGGGGTAAGAAAAGACTAGGGGTGGCGACACCTTCGCTCTCGGGAGAGTTTTTTTTTCCGAGTCGAGTATTTCTTGTATTTTTCGACGGGTGTTTTTTGCGTAATGACGTCGAGGTCCTGGGAGAGTTGGAGGAATCCATTAGGAAGGCGGGCAGAGCTTAATGCACGAGGTTTTTTTCTTGTGTTCCCAATCGACGGCTGGAGAGAGTCGCATGTGTCGCAAGCACATTAGCAACGTTTGTGATGGCTTTTTATTACACTAGTATTTTATAATCCCGCCTGCCAATGTCTGTACAAAGTATACTAATGTTATAAACGGACGTTTATTAGAATTTGTAACTTAAACGACTGTACGGATTTCGATAACATTTGGATGAAAAGTAGAGCATAGCTTGGAAGAACAATAAACCTACTCACTTTTGTTTATTTTAATTCCACGCAAACGGAGTAGCTGCCGAAAACTGGTCATAAATAAAAAAAAACAATAACAAAGCAATATAAGTTAGCAAAACTTGCCGACATCTGAAGTTATCTAAATAAAAAACTTGAAACTATTCCCATATAAGCAACAATTGTTAGACTGTTTACATAAATGTAATTCTGATAAGAATACTGGTATATCAAATAGAGTCTAGTAAGTAATCTTACTTAAAAAAAATACAATTAACTCCTATTCAATCAGTCTCTACGTTTATGATTGCATCTGGCCAGTGCATTAAGGTAGGGCGCTTGGGCGTCGGCCCAAAGCGCGATGAAAAGGTACCCAGTTAGAAAATGTCTCCCAATTACCTGTGCCTAGTACTTCCAAGGCTAAAGACGCTCAGGACTCTTGTGCTTCTGAAAAGTGCTGTTGTGTCTGTATTTATTTTGTGATTATTGTTACAGGTAAATGGTGTGGGTCACGGCGGGAATGGTCATCTCCTCCGGACGTAGCTCGCCGGGTCTACTCCTCTGTCTTCCTGGGTAGCCCGGGTGAATACCCAGGTAAATATACAATAGTATAAAATAACATTTCTTACTAGAATAATCGAAAAGCTTATTGATTTATTTCTGGCAGTTACAGCGAGTGAAAAATTGTTGTGATCGATTTTTGAGTGTTTTTCGGAGGCTATATGGATAATATACTTAAGGTAGACGGGCTCATTGGTTTTTTATATAAAAAAGATAATAGACATCATACCTACAAGTTATATGAACTGCAATTAAATTAACTTTCAATATATTTAAGTTAATTATGTAATATAAGAAAAACTCTCAAGTTAGTTACCGACGGAAAATTCTAATGAAATATAATCAGATCCAGTAAGTAATGGTTAAAACGTGTCTAAAAAAACAAAAATATTAAAACAACCGAAGAAAAAGAAACAGAAAAAAACTTTGATAAATCAATATTGACTTTACTATAACTAAAAGTACGAAATATTAACACGCAAAGTAAACTATTTTTAACTATTTTCGTTATTTTTTAATATTATACTAAAATGTTTTATTCATCAAAAAATTACTTTTTAATTTTGGAATAATCCGTGTCAAATTTGTTAACAGATAAAAATAAATACAAAAAAACTTAAACCAACAGTGGCCAGTCACAGCTTCTGTCAAAATGTACACTGCCGTTGACAGCCATATCGATTCTCTAATGATCCGATGAAATTAGGCGACAAAATCAATCTATCGATATTTATTTAAACATGAATTCGTATCTTGGTTATTTATTATTAAAGCAAAGAAAGGATTCTGTTACAAAAACAATTGATCTATATTTTTTCTGAATAAAATGGAACAGTTAAAATATTTTTAATCTATGAAAACTGACGCCATCTTGTAAATTCCCGCCGATTTTAATTCATAGTTTTCTTTATACGCATGACTGTGGCCTACAATTGAGTTTTGATTGTCGTTTTATTAGTAAAGACCAGTTTGCAAACGGTTCATAAAACAAAAACACATTTGATGCGTTCTTTCATACAAAGTATTACTAAATTAAACTCGCTCGTTATCATTAATCACCCGTCTAAAGACATCTTTTCTAATTACAGACACCGACTACCAAAAATACAATCCATTTTGTTGATCCGCCGCCATTATCTGCCGTACGATCATAACAGTGTTACCAGTCCTAAAGAAATTAAAAAACCCTCGAAACGATTCAAATACGAGCTTTACTCGCTCGTACAAGCACAATTAACTAACGCCATCTAGCGACAAACTAAATGTTTGCACGTGAACATGTGATTAGACTAATTTAAACTTTATGTCTATGTGGTATAGTTTCAATTACCGTAACGATATAACGTTTCAATGTAAGCCATACGCGTAAATGCTATATCCATTTCTTTTACGTTTGACATATTTCTGTCTCTCTCTTGTAATAATTTATCTGCATTAATACGTTTCCATTACACTACAAGTGGCTTTACACCGGATAGCTACATTTTTAATTCACGAAAGTGAGCCGTAGAAATAATAATAGAGTACTTAAATCAGAAATGGAATCGGCGAAGGCGAAGTCAATTTATTCGGAGCTTCGTTACAATTCCGATTTTTATCTAACGTCCCGAATGAATGCCGCCGAAGACGGATTACAGTGGACGGAGAGGAGAGGCCGACAAAAACTCCGGTAGAGAGGGACGCTGCGAAGAAATCGATTCCGTCCTCACTGAGAAAGGATCGCCCCGGTATGAAAGAGCGAGCGCCATCTCGTCTTTACGACGTGCGAAAGAGATAAAACAATTCCTTATGTCGCTATTCTTAAGTCATTTGCGCATTCGAAATGGCACTTTACTGGCAGACATTAAGGTCGCAGTTTCATTGTTATGATTGCATATTGACGATTGTGGTGCGCTGCAATGGAATGTTACAACTTCATCTAACGGTGAAAGCGATAACGTCCTTATGTCTTTTGAAATAAGGTCGTTATCGGTGTATGCGGTGTGAGGTGCGGGCCAGGCCGGTTGTGCACCGGCGGTCGCCATGGTTACCGGTCGGAATGTTTAGGCAGGCGGCGCACGGAGCGGGCGCTACGCTGCGTCGCTCGTTTCGTTTGATCTTTACCATTAATTTAATTGCTAATAACTATAATGTTTATTATAATATGTAATAATCAAACCGTACCGCTGGCAGGCTAATGGCGGCAGGAACCAGTACATATTGGGAGTTGATAACTTTAATAGTGTTTATTTCCTTATAAATGAATTAATTATTGACTATTTGAGTAACATAATTGTTGACATAAAAATGTAATGTCCGACATGTGGATACTTACGTAGATACTTTGTAACGAATGGTCGTTTTATTTATCTAAAACCATTCGTTTTTTGTACAACATCAATTAAGATTTAATTTTACTTTTGGATTTTTTTTACAAACCGACTTAGGTATTTAATTTAAGTAGTTTATATAGGGCTAAAGATTTAGGATTGTATATAATATTTTCCAGTATTATGTACAGATGAGTTAGTATTTTGTCCACTTGTTTGTTGCGTGGTGGTCGACCAGCGCAGCACCGCGCCCACATAATAACGGCCGAGCGCGGACTATTTTTTAATATTCTCTTTTCGAATTTACGCTCGAGATTCGAAATTAGAGAAGGAAAGAGACACGTATCGGGGAAACGCACGGGTGCGAGCGGGAGGGCGCTCAATTGCTCAATTTGTGCCTCAGCTCATGAGATGCCTTCGGGTTCCTTTTTCAAAAATCCAATGAGATCGATCGCTCGCCATGTCCGCAAATTAGAGCGGGAATCGTTGTTCGTTAGCGTTTTACTTGAACCCGAAGGCTTTAACGGCCTTGTAGAAGTATGCTAAAGTAGATGTTATGTTATAAGTAACAAGGGCGATAGTTCCTTGCGTGTGGTAATCTCAATCAACGTTGCTGGCGGGTCAAAGCGCGCCGCTGAGTACGGAGGTGCATTTTAGTATTACCGGCGGTCTCGGTGTTCTCATTTCGCCAGAACCTTTTAAAGACGCTGAAGATTCCTGAAGATGGCCGAACCCGTCTGCGAAAATTGCGTTCCCAATGACCTTTCTTATATAAGTTCGTATATCGAAATTACTTTGGTAAAACACGTTCGACTTTGAGTTTCTTTTGCGAAGCTTTTCACATAACCGTGTGTAAAAACGTGTTTGAATAGAATTTATTTAGCCGATGTATTAAAAAACCTACGATGTATCAAGAATTACTATAGTTTAGAAGACCAAGTATGTTTACGGACTGTCAGTATACAAGTAGCGGCTCAATAACCGCTGACGATGACGCGGCAAGAATGTGATCGCGCCAGTAAAAACTGTAAACCTGCAATGACGCAGGCTTTTGCACATTTACTGCCAACATCTAGCAAATAACATTCGCATTTCAAAATACAGTTAGTTTAATATTTTTAGAGTGTACATTACTTTACTGGACATACAAAAAAACAAAAGTTAGTAGCCTTTTTGTTCTTATAGACAAAGCTCTACATATATTCCAAATTTTATCGAGATTCATTCAGCAGTTTAGGCTACAAACTCTAACAAACATCCATCTAAACGTTCGCATTATATTAAACTATACTTCTATAGGTATACTTATATTAAAAAGAGGAAAAAATTATATTTTTGGCTTTTCTTATGTATTGAAATAACTCAAAAACTACTGGGCTGATTTTGAAAATTCTTTCACCGTTAGAAAGGTAATTTATCTGTGAGTAACATAGGCATTATTTTATAATTTCACGTGGACGCAGTCGCGAGCAACATCTAGGAAAATTACAAGATTATTCCACACATTTCTTTGCCAATGCCAACTTGCGTTAGTCACGTTTACAAAGGTCCAAATGTCTAAAATATCTCTACATAAACAATATTGTGCAGTTAACCGCTTCACAATTTGTCCGACCTCTGCCCTGAGCCTCAGGTCCTCCGATTCTATGCTAATGAGAAATCCTCCGCTGAAACTGCACCGTGATAACATATGCTACATTTCCCACGCCCTGATTGTTACTCTGTACGCTTCTCACGTCGTCCCTACCCTGCCATCTGCAGTGTTCTTTTTATTGTATCTTCATCTCTGTTCTTTGATTAATTAGTGACATATTTTAAACCGTCTTTTGTTTTTATGAACAACTAGCTTTCGCCCGCGACGCTATCCACGTGGATTTAAAAACAAAAGTGAGTAGCCTATCTGTTCTTCCAGACTATCTACATCTGTACCAAAATTCATCGAAATCCGTTCAGTCGTTTAGGCTACAAACTCTAACATCCATCCATCTAAACTTTCACATTTATAATATCAGTAAGTTTAAATACTGTAGTTAAGTATACTGTTACAATTTAGTTTGAATTATGGCCTCTTTACTTATTTCATTTATTTTATTAGTTATTTCACCAAGGTTGCTGCTTCAGCAAAGGCAGCAGGTGCTAGGGCGCCTTCGGGGGTAAAATAAATATAAAAAAAATTGGTGATCTTCAATTCTTATTTACAAATGATAATTGCAGCCACTTTAATCTATACTTGAAACGTCAAATAAAAAACGGAGTCCACTTATATCTTTTTGTCAAGACAAGTTGACTGGTACGTCAAAACAATGGTCATTTGTAGAGTCAATGATAGAGGTCCAATAGGTAGCGAAGTGTGGGTGGAAAGTGCTCGTTTGAAACAACTGCCAGCTTGCTAATGGTAAAAAAATCTTGGTTTGCCATTTTTAGATTCTATAAAACAAGGACAAACTGTGTCTTCGCTTGATTCAGTTGTTTGACGGAAGCTCTTTTGTTATTTGGTACAATTTTCGAGTTAATAATATAACAAAAGGTTTACAAAAGTAAGAGGTGATTTAAAAATCATTCGGTCATATCTTAAGCGATACGTCAACCTGTTATTCAATCTTATCAGTGCACTAACTAGTGCAATGGAAACAAACCCTTTCTCTGTTAATCAAATTTGAATTATCTGCTTACGTGTTAGGGTGTAATTTTGTTTGTGCGAGGTTTGTTTGTCCGAAGGGTGTG